GATCGTGTTTCTCAAAATCTGCAAGCCTTTCATTGTATTCTTCAATCAGGGAGTCTAGAACAGTATGTATTCTTTCACGTCACATTTCTTTAATGATTCACTTGTATCCTGTTCATTAATTACCTTTGCCAGTTCAGGAAAGTGTTCAGCTGAAAGTTCCGATCGGGTAAGGAGAGTTTTGAAAAAAGTCAGCTTTTTCTGAAATGCCTGGATTTTTAGCCACATAACATGCATAGATTTAGTTGTACCTTGTAGGAAGATGTTCAGATCATTTTGCTTTGACCTTATATTACACAAAAATGCAGTATTTCTGCAGAAATCTTCTTTTGACAATTCACATGGTTCATTCAGTTCCTCAAAAAAATGATGTGATTTGTTTTCGCAAAGATAAAAGTTTTACAAGTATTTGTCTTTGTGACAACCAGCGCACTTTAGAATGATATGGCAGATCCACACTGAATGTTTCACCATCAAGCTGAAGCATGTTGCAAAATTGGCAATGCTTTGATGCATTTGCTTGAATGTAGTTAACATTACCTATAACTTTACTTAATATGTCACTTAAAACAGGGGGAGGTGATGATCAAGTGGTGTTATCGCTGGACTGTTAACCCAGAGACCCAGATAATGTTCTGGGGACCCAGGTTCAAATCCTGCCATGGCAAATGGTGGAATTTGAATTCAATAAAAATCTGGAATTAAGAATCTAATGATGACCATGAATCCATTGCCAATTGTTGGAAAAACCCATCTGATTCACTAATGTCCTTTAGGGAAGGAAACTGCCATCCTTACCTGGTCTGGCCTACATGTGACTCCAGGCCCACAGCAATGTGGTTGACCCTTAACTGCTCTCTGGACAATTAATGATGGGCAATAAATGCTGCCTAGTTAGCGACGCCCTCACCGTGTGAATAAAAAAAGGAGAACGGTAGATTTGGCACAGAGATTCTACTGATGCAAAAGACAATGAAAGGAAATCAAAGTATCGGGATCTGGCAATTCTTTTGTATTAACGCAACAAATCCTTCACGTTTTCTTCTCATGGAAGGTGCACCGCCTGTGCATACACTTACTAAATTACGTAAATTCAGTTTTGCTTTCCATGGCAAAGCCAGTAACTCCTCAAGGCAATGAAAATCCACAGTTATAAAACAAATAAAAAATAACACCTGTGCTGAGTCAGTAATGTCAGTGGATTCATCCAAGGCAATTGAATAATAAATTCTTTGCTTTGGCATATTGTATGAAGTCGTTCTGTTACATTGACAGCTAATTCGTGTTGCCGATCAGTTATGGTCCTTCTTGAAAGAGGTAGTTGTTTGAACTTATTAACCTTATCTGAATTTAAACACCCTACAACTTCAACAATGCATTCTTTTATATTTTCCACATCACTAAACGCCTTACCTCTTCTTCCAAGTATATATGCTACTTGTTGCTTCAGCGATGCCAGTCCCTAGTCCTGACATAATTTTAAATACTTGCTGCTGCTTTTGGTCTTTTGTTTTTGTAAGTGCAGACTTTCGGGTTTCTCCTTCCAGTTTAGCATATTTGTCGTCCTTATGAGTTGCATAATGCTGATCTGCATTGTATTTCTTCACTGTTGCAATTATGGCGTTGAGAGTAAACACATCATTTTATCTTTCACAGCAGCTATGTAATACTGCAATTACCATTCTTCATTGAATAGTCTGTTCTCTTCCTTTAATGTTCTCTTCTTAGTTTTTGACATGACTGAGTTACCAGTAAAAATTTAAATGGTACACAGATTTGAAAAGGTGGATTTAGTATTTGCGGACAAGTAGGCAGAAGGCAACAACTAGTACCCCAAAAGGCCGCATGCAGCTTAAGGCTGCAGGTTCCCCACCCCTGGATTAGTGTAATCGAATTCTAAGATTCTGTTGTTCGATTGCCGGGGGGCAGGGATAGAAATCATAGACCCTGGTGCTGCTTTCGGCCCAAGGTCCCCACCCCTACCCTGACCTATGCACAATGGGTCCCTGGGAGCCCTGGACTGTAGTTATTGGGGGTGATGTGCCACCCTGTCCCAGGCCCTGCTTCTGCATCACCTAGACATGCAGCTTCCCAGTAATGATTGACCTCCCTGTTCTTCCAACCAAGATATAACATCTCACATTTATATGTGTTGAAGTTCATTTGCCAATTATTTGTCCATTCTGCAAGCTTATTAATGTCCTCCTGTAATTTGTTGCAGTCCTTCTCAGTATTGACTATCTCATTAATGAAGCAGCTGAAGAAATTTGAGCTTGGGACAATGCCCTGTGGAACTCCTACAACAATGTCCAGGGGCTGAGATGATTGGCCTCTAACAACCACAACCATCTTTTTTTGTGCCAGGTATGACTCCATCTTGGAGAATTTTCCCCATACCCAATTTACTTCAGTTTTACTAGGGTGCCTCGATCCCTTAGTTCTTCAAATGCTGCCTTTATATCAAAGGCGTTTGCTCTCTATGTTCCCTCTAAGCTCTGCTGCCAGCCATTTTGAGGGTTTATGCACACCCATCAGCATGCAGATGCATTTACTTCCTTTTTCAGAAGCTTTTGCTGTGCACAAACCACATAAGCCTGCTCACAAGCAGAAAAATTAGAGGGAATGTAGATCTTTCCCACCTCCCACTCTAGAATTTCCCTTTAATGCTCATAGGGTCATAGAGTTAAACAACACGAGTTTTGAAACTGATTGATCAGAGTGAACTTGGGAGTAACGGGCAGCTTATCGTGATTAAGTGCCTCTGCATAGCAGTAGTAATGATTTCTTTCATCATTTTGCTAATAATCGGGTTATGTTTATAGAGCAGTAATTGTTTAAATTTGTCCTGCGTTTTTTGGATAAGAAATATGCAGGTATTTTGCCACCTTGCAGAACAGATGCAACAATTGCAGCTGTAGTAAAACAGCTTGGTTAGGGTTCTGGTATGTTCTGTAGTGCAGACCATCAGCAACACAGCCAGGTTGCTGTCAGAGCCAGTTGCTTTTGCTGTCTCCACAGCGCAGCTTTATGACACTAACAAAATTGGCTGAAGACTGGCATTTGTGATGCAGACTTAGGCACTGACAGAGACAGAGCTTACATTTGCATTTCTGGTTAAGAATGCTTGCAAGCTTTATGTTTTAGCCTAAGTGCTAGTCTGTGGTATTACTGAAGATAGCGTTAGTCATGGAGCAGCTGCCTCTTGTTTGTTGCTTATTGTCTACTGCCAGTCATATTTGGGCTAGCTTTCGAGTTTTTACTCGATCCTTTTTTTTGAGATTGTTTAGCTCTATATATGCCATGCTGATTTTGCTGTTCAACATACAAACAATTTTGCCTTGTAGTTTCGCCAAAATTAGTGCCTTCTTTTCTGGTGTGACTGCTATACCTGGTATGCTCTTCGTTAAACCAGGATTCGTTCTGTAATTTAGTGATGCAGGACCGAGTTTACAGATTAATTTTTGAACAACACCTGCCAAATTCATGACCTCTGTTTGATCTCTTCTTTAACTGTTCCAAGTTAGCATTCTGGCTAGCACATCGCATGATAACAACATCCTCAGTCTGAAGACAAATCTTAGCCCTCACAAGGATTGTGTGGTGATCGTTCCTACCTGTGCTGCTATGGCCAACTGCATTTATGACAAGCACGTTGATTGGACCAGGGTCAGGAGTAATGTACCTTTATGTTGTATCTCTCAGCTCCTGCCTTAAGGTCAGTCTGGCAGTGGTGTGCTTCAGGACTCAGCCAGCTAAGTTTGAAGACTTATAAAGTGTGAGCTATCATTATGAGAAATATGTAACCTATGAGGTTGACCAATGCTCCAAGGATTGCCCAATTCACAAGTGACACAATCAGTCCCAGAACAATATATATAATCACAGATTAGTGCTGGTCATAATATACACCCAGTTTTTGTAGTTGCAGTGAGGCCAAGGGTCTAGGCCCGAAACGTCAGCCTTCCTGCTCCTATGATGCTGCTTGGCCTGCTGTGTTCATCCAGCTCTACACCCTGTTATCTCAGATTCCCCAGCATCTGCTGTTCCTACTATCTCTGATACAAAGTTGCCAGTGTTAGCTTCCATTACAATTGTGAAACTTGATGTGAAATTGGTCAGGCAGTAAAAACACTTAGAAAATGTTATGCCAAGTCAAATGAGGTGTGACGGGTTTTTAATAGCAAGCTAAGTTTACAATTGTTTTTTAACAATCCCTTTGGACCTGGAAAACTAAGTTTATATATATGAAATGTCACAGCGCATTTTTTAAAAAAATGTAAGTTTTTCTGAAATTAGTATCTGGGAAGGTAAAATCCACATCATAGAGATCACAAGAACTTTTTTGACAGCTTTCTTTAAGATTAGTGGTGACCAATGTCAATTTTCTTTATTCTTTCTTTGGATGTGGACGTCATTGCTCGGCTAGCATTGTTACCCATCCATAGTTATCTCTTGAATCAAGAGACTTGATTGTCGTGTCTGCTGAATGTGAAGCCTGGATAGTCTTAAACATTTCATGGATTTTATCCCAATGGAGAAGACAGTTGACTGTAAGGCATCTGATTCTGGCAAAATGTGTTTAAGCTCTGTAATAATTTCAGTGCAAAATCTGCGCAGGAATTTCCTTTGTGATTTCCCAATCAGGTAATATAACTTCGGCAAACAGTTGGCAGAAACCTTATTTACGTGTGTATCTGGGGCAATGTGTATCTTTAGCTCAAGGGGTGTCTCTGACTAATTTTCCATTGTTAGTCTTTTCAGACCCGGGACTAAATACCAGACTTTTTAAAAAAAATGTAGTCTGAAAGCATTTTTAAGTGTTTTGGTGTTGCTCTCTATCACCCACCCTTAAATGCTGCAAGCTTTGGTGATGACTAGTTTTGTAGAGCTAAAAATTAATGCAGTACTTTTACTATCTCACATGAAGTTTGGTGATTTATTATATGATTTAAAAAAAACACCCCAATAGAATGAAGCTCATTGTAAAATGTATTAACTTGCAGAAATTTAAAGGGGAATCGTATAACGGATCTGATTCCAGAAACTTTTGAAGGTCTCTCACATTTGAAATACTTGTAAGTTTCAAACTTTACTTGCTGCTTTGATATTTTATGGCTTTTGCTTCTCAGCTTTGTGTGTTGCTTAAATCTGCTTATTAAGTATCTTATTGTTACCTCATTGTTGAACCTCATAGTGGAGTGGAGGTGGTGGAATAAACTACTTTGTTAAAACCTCTAGTCAGTTATCAGTTGGCACAATAAACAGTGCTTGAGCAAGTGCTGTCTGAGGTTGCTGATTTCATAGTTGAAAGAACAAAGAAAATTACAGTACAGGAACAGGCCCTTTGGCCCTCCAAGCCTCCACCGACATGCTGACATGTGACCTGATATAAATCCAGTGCAGGCTGGTGGTTGACACGGGCTAAAAATGAAAGAGGTTG